CATGCCATCGTTGCAGAGCCTGTGAGGGAAACAGGTAAATTTTAATTACCCTGCAAATGATTCACTGTGAAAAATGAGAACTTCATTTTCATCATCAAACCCTTTCCCTGTTTCATCCTTATCCACAACTCTGATATTACTAAAATATTTAAGGAGGGACGGCATTGACAATTCCTCTTTACAATGAAGTTCTTCCAGGTTTCAAGTTCACTAAATAATTTCCATGTAACAGACATTACGTGGTAGTTCTACCACCTGTAGTGAGCAGAGTACGCCAATTACCAGTCCTGACCACCCAAAATGTCACCCAGCGTGCCAGTGGCCATATTTACCCATTTTAAGTGAAAGAGCTGGTTTGAGGTTACGCCATTGACATCAAACTCAAGGCATCCAGCCTGGGCTGGATCTCAACATCCCTCTCAAATCAGAAGTCAAGCATTTACCTGTTCTCCTCTCCTTCCAGAAGCTTCCTGTACATGGCAATCTCAACATCCAGGGCAATCTTGATGTTCAGAAGCTCCTGTTACCCCTTCAGCAAGCGAGCCAGCTCCTCCTTGTCTTTCTGCAGGGCACATTCCAGCTCTTCCAGTTTTATCCTAGCATCCTTGAGGGCCATCTCACCCCGCTCCTCAGCCTCAGCAATAGCTGCCTGCAGCTGCTGGTTCTGGGGAAGACAAAAGGCAGATTCTCAGATCTCATTTTGTCACTTTAGGATCAGCCCTCAAAACTCAAATGGAGAAGTCAAGGAAAAAAAAAAAGGTGACATTTACATGAATTAAACAAAGGGTGGTTGAAGAAACAGTTTCTGCTCCACACATGGTCATTCGTGGTCCAATCTGATGCCAGGATCCCATGAAACACTAACCAACTCCTACCTGCTTCTTCACGTTCTCAATCTCAGCCCGCAGCCTCTGGACGTTCCTGGTCAACTCTTGGATCTCAATCTTGGTGTTGCGTAGGCTGTCCCCATGCCTTCCAGCAGTGCTCTGCAGCTGTTCGTACTGATGGTATCAAGACAAAACAAACCATCAGTGAAACATTCCTGATGCCTAGACAAGATTTGTCAACAGTTTCATAACACACGTACTGCTACAAGCACCTATCACGTTGGTCATGGATGCCCACCTGGGCAAAAGGTGGGCATCCTCAGAACCAAAGATGGTTCTGAGACTCAAGTATTAATAGTTCTGTACTTTGAAATAGATCTTAGTCACACTAAAAAGCGTCCCTTGGCTTCCTAAAAGCTCCTTTGGGAAGACATTTTCTAGTTTATGTACCTACAAGACATGTCTCAAGTTAATGGGCCTACAAGAAAGATGGGGAGAGACTTTGGCCAAGGGCAGTTAATGACAGGACAAGGGGAAATGGCTCTGAACTGGAAGAGGGGAGGTTTAGATGAGATATTAGGGAGAAATTCTTCACTGTGAGGGTGGTGAGACACTGGAACAAGTTGCCCAGAGAAGTTGTGGCTGCTCCTCCCTGGAAGTGTTGAAGGCCAGGTTGGATGAGGCTTTGAGCAACCTGGTCTAGTGGAAGGTGTCCCTGCTGATGGCAGGGGGGTTGGAATTGGATGGGCTTTAAGGTCCCTCCCAACCCAAACCAGTCTGGGATTCTATTATTCTATTTTTTATCATCTTTACTGAGAGATTTGTATCGTGCATGAAAATGAGGTTCTGGCCACCTTCAACACAGTGAGTCAGATCCCTCAAAAGCAACATAGTTCCTCTGGAGACTTCCTTGCATGAGCTCCAGCATGGTTAGCTTAAAGAGACATCTCACTTGGTCATAAATCATCTGCAAACTCTAGCCATCACCCAGGGTTCCTTGTCTACTTCCCAACTCACCTGGCTCTGGTACCAAGCCTCAGCTTCAGCTCTGCTGCTCTGAGCAATCTGCTCATACTGACGTCTGACCTCCTCAATGATGCTGTCCAGATCCAGGTGACGGTTGTTGTCCATGGACACCACCACCGACAGGTCCCGGCTGATTGTCTGCATCTGAGCCAGTTCCTACAACCAAGCACGGAGTTAGCCTGACCATCTGAGGAGGGGACAAAAGAGCACCAGCTCCAAGCAGCCTCTCCAGACCAAATCCACGTGGCCACCCAGTCCAACCTCAGCCTCTTTGGCCACCACACATCTCATTACAACTCCAGCCAGCCCAGGGGAAGGCAGAGCTCTTACCTCCTCGTAGATGCACCTCAGGAAGTTGATTTCATCAGTCAGAGCTCCCACCTTGGCTTCCAACTCTACTTTAGTCATGTAGGCACAGTCCACATCCTACAGGAAAGATCACAAGGAATACTTTCATTTCCTCTTGGAAATCCTTCAAGACCATGGAAATTACAGCCTGTGTCAAGGGTAACAGCTGTGACGGTACTGTTCAGTTATGCAAATTAAACACAAAAGACTTCAAATATCAGCCCACAGATCCTACGGTCTCTCCATAATTCCCATTCAAGAGCAAGTGAGCAAGTTCCCTCAAAGCACAGCCAAAGCCTGATCTTCAAGCAGTCATTTTGTAGCGCGTGTGACTCACCTTCTTAAGTACCACAAACTCATTCTCAGCAGTTGTGCGCCTGTTGATCTCTTCCTCATACCTATGGAAAGTAAAAGTATAAGTTGAATTTCCAGAATCTTCCTGCCCAAGGCCACATTAACAAACTAAAAAAAAACACAAACAACAAAAAACCCCCCAAAAAAACCCAGAATAAAATATTTAAATTGAAAAAAATTATATCCACAATTGCCATAAAAATCATGTGGGTGAAGAAAAACTACTACCAAGCTGCTTGAGTTGTTTGCTGGGTTAGACTCTCACTGCACTTACTTGGTTTTGTAATCCTCCACGTACTGCTGCATGTTCTGCAGCTCCGACTCCAGCTGTCCCCTCTGTGACAAGATTGAGTCCAGCTGCCTCCTCAGGTTCTGGATGTAATTTTCAAAGAGGGCATCAAGATTCTTCCTTGGCCCTGTAGGCCCTTGTTGTTGGAGGAGCTCCCACTTGGTGGAGAGGACTTTGTTCTGTTGCTCCAGGAAGCGGACCTGAAAGCCAAGACATGGAGTATTCAACCATCACATGGGCAACAGCAGCAGCAGCCAAGGCACCTCTTTCATCATCTAAAAAAGATTCTCCTTTGCATGACAATGAGAGAACAGGTTCATTTTTTGTTTGTTTGTTATTATTATTATTTTTGTTGTTGCCTAAACTCTAAGATTGGAAAAAGGAGGAAATTCCAAAATCATATTCAAGTCAAAGGAGCTTTTAAATGGAGCAGTAGCTCCAAGGATGTTCCCATCACAGGAATTTCTAGTCTAGATTTAAAAGCCTGGATATTTGAAAACAAAGAGAAAATAAAATATTAATATATTAGTGAATAATTAAATGGGAGAGGAATTGGAAAGAGAATGGTAGAGGAGAGAAAATTTGTGCCTGAAACCTGTAGATGTTTGGAGGCATTGAGCTTGCTTGCTCTTGGTTGAGCCTGGTGCAACAGGCTGGATTAAAGCCCTGAAGACATCGCTTTGATCTCGTATGGAAGAGAGATTCTCATCTCTCCCCTCGCAGTGCTTAATGAAAAGAGTCTGCTCAAGCTTCTCAGCCTGCTGCTCTTTAGCTCAAAAAGGACAACCTTTCTGCAGAACTTGAAAGTTCTTCCCAGTTTTGACCCTTAATTAGATGCAGTCCCACCCTCTCACCTTATCAATGAAAGAGGCAAATTGATTGTTAAGAGTCTTGATCTGCTCCTTCTCCTGGTTTTTCACTTGCTGGATTTGGGGATCAATCTCTACATGGACTGGCTGTAGGAGGGTTGAGTCAACCTGCACTGGCTGGATTCCAGGGCCACCTCTACCGGGGCCACCAAAGCCTGCCATGCCAAAGCCTGGTCCACCAAAGCCGCCCATTCCTCCACCACCCATTCCTCCACTGTAACCACCCATTCCTCCACCAAAGCCACCCATTCCTCCACCACCACCCATTCCTCCAAAGCCACCCATTCCTCCTCCACCCATTCCTCCTCCAAAGCTGCTTAGTCCTCCTCCATAGCCTCCACCAAAGCCACCCATTCTGCCTCCGTATCCTCCACCACCATAACATCCACCCATGGAAATCCTTCCACTGCCACCTATGTTATGGAGACTCTTGCTGCTAAACCCTCCACAACGTCCTCCACCTCCAAATCCCCTGGACACAGAGAACGAGCTGTAGCTGCTCCTGCTTCTGCCGCCACCTCCTCCAAAGCCACCACCGATGGCAGAGCAAGAGCTGTAGCCCCTTCTACTCCCTCCTCCAAAGCTTCTGCAGACAGATTGCCGAGACATGATTGTTTCTTCCGAGTGGAGTCAAAAAAAAATCGAGGAGTTAAGAAAGATCAATGGAGTTGTGCTGCAAGGAGACGAGTGCAAGGAGAAGGGAAGTGAGTCCCTCTGACTGGAGGGCAGTCGACGCTTTCTTTTATCTGTTTCTGGAGGTGGGCTGGGTTTGCATGGGCGTGAAGGAGGAGACAGTTACTGTCTTCATCAGCGTGGTGTGGTTTACAGATTTTCATCTTCAATTTGCCAAACATTCACCCTACCCAGAAACACACCCTCTAATGCAGGAGAAAATGAAAAATAAATGCTACAACTGTGTCTACCAAACGGCAACACTCGATGACTAAGAGGTCTTACACTTTTGTGGTAGAGTAACAGTCTCTGTAGGATACTCCAGTCTCTTTTTTTTTCACCTTTCATCCATTGTGGTTGTTTCCCTGCTTATGTTTATCTTTATTTTGATCTTCCACTCCAAAGCCCCATTGGCAGCCAAGCACCGTGGTTCATGCCAAGTTGTAGCATGGCTTTCACAATTCCCAAAACACACCTATGTTACACCCTTTAGTCTTCTTTTTACATGGAAAATTGCCTTTGGCTTGCAGTAGTTTCTCAATCTAGAGCCAGGGCTCAGCAAATTGCGTTTTGATGAGGCTCTGTGTCTTTTTGATAAATAAAACCTTACCAGAAACGAGATACTGGAGTGATGGTTGGCACTGGAAATTCATTTATTGTTGGACCAAACTCTTACTGAAAGTGAGTCCTGGAGTCTTCATGCCAAGATAGTCTCAGCACCAGTGAAGAAACACCACAAATATCACAGTTGGGAAATGCCTTTGGGATTTTCTGAAAGCTTCAAGACCATGAGAAGAGGCAGAGAAGACATTGGGAGCCCAGTTGCTACAGTGGGAAGTGTGGGCAGATGGACAGCCAGCTCTGAGAATAGACGGAGAGAAGGAGGCATGCAAAATCATGCTGCCCACATCATAATTCCCATAACTATTTAAATGCAATTAGCCAGGCAGAGGATGCTGGAGAGCTCAGCTCATTTGTAGAGACACATGGAAACGAGGAGAACAGAGGACACAATAACTTTCACTTGAGGAAACGCATGTTTTTCAGCTGCCTGGCTTACTTCTGTATTTATATGCAAATATATTTTTGGCAGACATAATGCTCTTAGAAGCTGTGTTGAGTTCTACTTCAAGAACATGGGCAGGTATCCTTCAAAAGCTTATTTGAAAGTGGTCACCAGGCTTCCAAAAGGCAGAAGCTGATCAGAATACTCTGGGTTTGGTGCCATATGGGGAAAGGATTAGCTTAGGAGTTAAACTTGCAAGAATAAGACTATGACCCATCATGTATTCATCCTTTTGTCTTGCAGAAACCTGCTTATCAAATAACAATCGCTGTCTTTATTATTATTATTTTTATGGAGAAATTCCCTTTTGTAGCAATTTTCAACTTTTTAAAAGCCACTTCAGAAAAGTTGACGTTCAAAAATCTTTCTGTCTATTGAGGGATCTAACTGTGCTGTTAGCTGTCTAGCAAGGTTCTCAGAGGTTCCCATAGGACACAGGTAATTAAGTGCTTCTTGAAAATCCACACTAGCAACTCTTGGTATCTTCTGATGTTTAAATACTTCTAAAAATATCACCCAGACACCAAAATTGCCTAGGGACCTGGACCTTGACATAACACACAGCTAAACTGACATTTCCACTGAAAAACATGACTGCTAGTCCCTCCTCCCTCCCCAGCACCAGCACAGATTCGTGAGCACACAGGGAAGTGGATCAGGGGATGGAGAGGGCTAAAAATATATATATATAATAACAAAATGTCACTGTGAGACCAAAGGGATGGGGAGGACTATTGTGGGAGGAATATTGTGTCCAGTTGTGGGCCCCACAGTTCAGGAAGGACAGGGAACTGCTGGAGAGAGTCCAGCACAGAGCCACCAAGATGATGAAGGGAGTGGAGCATCTCCCTGCTGAGGAAAGGCTGAGGGAGCTGGGGCTCTTTAGCTTGGAGAAGAGGAGACTGAGGGGTGACCTCATTAATGTTTATCAATATGTAAAGGGCGAATGTCAGGAGGATGGAGCCAGGCTCTTCTCAGTGATGCCCAATGGTAGGACAAGGGGCAATGGGTGTGAGCTGGAACACAGGAGGTTCTGCTTCAACTTGAGAAGAAACTTCTTTCCAGTGAGGGTGCCAGAGCCCTGGGACAGGCTGCCCAGGGAGGGTGTGGAGTCTCCTTCTCTGGAGACATTCAAGACCCACCTGGACGCCTTCCTGTGTGATCTCATTGAGGTTCCTGCTCTGGCAGGGGGGTTGGACTGGATGATCTTTCGAGGTCCCTTCCAATCCCCAACATCCTGTAATTCTGTGTGACAGGGGGCTTGGTGGTTGTGCAGCGTGGTTTATAGACCATGGACTGAGGAGGTCCCATATGGCTTGTTGGTCTTCAGCAAGACTTTGTTGGGACTAACACCTGCCGAGCCCGGGAGGTTTTGAAGCACAACCTCAAACATCACTACAACCATGAGCCAAAAGACTTGACAAACATCTGATTCCCTCTTGGGGCGAAAGCAAGAGCCATCTCTCAACAGCCCTTCCCGTCTAGAAGAGAAGCAAATCCCAGGCAAGACATGGCAGCACCATCTCTACAAACTCAGGCCGTGAACACACTCTGCTCCTGATTTACCAGTCAAATACATTCCACCACCCCCTGCCACACCACAAGGTTCAGGAGGGTGCTGGGTTTGTAGCTACTATAGATATAATCACGTATGTGCGCATACGCATTTAACGATGTCTCCGTCTGCGTTACCAAATCCGTGGTTATGTTTTTCTGGGGGGGGTTTTTTGTTGTTGTTGTTGTTTGGTTGGGGTTTTTTTTTTCTTTTTCTGTGGGCGGGACGACGTGATCAGAAAGTTTTCCCATTCCCAGCCGTGTTGGGAAGAGATGTGTTAGAGTCAGCACAACTCTGGAGTCCCGAGCGGCCCGTGTTTAGATAACGCGCTCGTTGAGTCACGGCTGCTTTTCCAGCCAAGTTTAGGAAATCGAGTTGGGATTTGGATATCAACATCATCACCTGGTTCAAATGCAATAAGCAGCTTTAGATTGTGGGGGATCTCAAACAACATTGTGGTACCCAAAGCTCTAATGAAGGAAAATGGCTTTTAAATGTCCTTTCCAACCCGAATTATTCTATGAGTCTATGAAAATAAACAGGCAGGAAAAGCTGCTCAAGCCTTGAATACTTGGAGGAAAAGGTTCATTTCAGCAGCAGCACCATCAGTTGACCTGCACTGAACTTAGGAAAAGTCTTCAACCACAAAAAGGGAGAAATTCTGGGGGAAAAAAAGCAAAGCAAAGCATTTAATTCCCACACTTTCCATAAAACACTTGACATCTAAGTGTTTTCACCGTGCTTTAGAAGAAGACTTTTCAAACAAAATTAAATGAAACTTATTTCAGGCCACGTAAAATGTTTTCTCTCCTCCTACAAAAGGCAGAAATTATGTCACATCTCTGTCCAGCCCGAGAGAATTTTCTCCTAATTGCTGGTGCAATCATAGGAACAAAAGGTAAAGGCTTTTTGTGTCTGTGTGTTTTAGCTCCAGCATTTGTCCACATCCAGAAGCTTTTTGTTCTTCATCATCTGTCCTGATGTCAGGAGTTATTTTGCTGGAGGCAAGTTTACACAGAGGCAACTCGTTTGGGGTGACTCTGAGGGAAGCAGATGTCTTTTTCATTCAACGCCATCTCAGGTCCCTTTTACAACTCACTAGAAGATTTAACCATTGCCCAAACCATCTCCTCGTCCAAGCAGTTACATGTCTTTGCTGGCAGCGTCGTGACATTCCACAGCGGCTGGTACGTTTATGTCTCAAGCATTTACAAACAGGGAACAGAGCATGGGATAAATGAAATGACTCATCCGGATCGCAGAGCGAGTCTGCGGTTGACCAGGGATGTGATTCAAGGTCTCCTGAGTAAGAGGTCAAACCACACGAGGCGTTTTTGGCTCTAAATCTACAGGTCATCAAAAATATTCTACTTTTGTGGAGAGGTAGGGTTGAGATCTTGCTCTTCCCATGGTCTTGGTTAGCTTTTTGGAGATGCCTTAAACGAAACCCATGGATCCCTGGCCAGTCCAGACAACAGTGAAAGCTGCAGGGCTGGCTCCATCATCACAGGTACTGAGGAATTAACTCTGAATTAGCTGGAAGGGTGATGATCACCCTTCCCTCTTCCACACCATCCCTTACAGGATGCTCCAAAAGCACGTAGGGCTGTGCAATGTCTTTGCCATGACAGCATCAGCTGTGGGCACAACAGCATTGGGACCACTTTGGAGGACAGGGAAGCACAAGGAGAGGTCAGTGGTGTGCTTGGAGGCAGTGGTCAGTCAGAGGTGGATTAGCTAGGGAATGTCCCAAGTTGGCCAACACAAGCAAGGAAAGGGCTCAGGAAGAGAAGTGAGAACGGTCTCCTAACATCAACAGAGTCCTAAAGTCTGCTTTGCTCTAACAGGACCAACTGCCTTTGTCACCCAAGACACCCAACAGAAGGGTAGAGAAGAAGAGCAGCCCAGTTGACCTCAGCTGCTACTTTCTCTCCTGCCACACTGCTCGTTCCCACAAATACTATTCCAAAAAACGCCGTGTGTTTCACAGCTGGGGACAACCAGCACAACCTGACCCAGCAATTTTGCCACCCCAACCACCTCACCCCTGCAAGACCTCCCTCACCCTCCTGCCAAACTTACAGCTATCCAAATTCTTTGAGAGAGAGAGAGGGGGGTGAGAAGGACAGGAGACCAAGCTACACGTTCGCTTTGGTTCTTTTAAATGTAGACTTCAAAGGGCAAGAGAAAGTCAGGTAAGACTTGGAGATCTCAGCAAAAGAAGAGTCTTGTTGCAACACGAAACTCTTTGGTCAGAGAGAAAAACCACACAAGGTTACTGCCTCTAGTGTTTATTCGGGTACGTCACACGCCAAAGGAGAAAGGGTTTAAGCAAACAAGAGCAATTGTTTCCATGATCACAAGGAAAAGGTAAAACCTGAGCAAAATTAAACACCTGCCAAGAGCTTCTGAAGGACACGGGTGAAACTGTTGGTATCTTGCTTAAAAAATACAAATAACAAATATAAACCTGCAGTGGGGTAAGAAATGTCTTCAGCTGGGACTAGTCACCATGAGGAAATTCTTGTTTTGGATTTCGAGCCCTGGCTGATGAGTAGCGCTGATTAAAGTTGCACCACATCTGGATCCAGCACAAGATCTTGAAAGAAGTCAAGCTTTTGCTTTTCCATGGGCTTCACAAGATGCCAGTTCTCTGAGCAGCACATGGGTCTGTCCCCTCTACCTGTCACTGACAGGACACCTCTCATTTGGACCACGCTGCTTATCCCAGCTGTGTTTGGGGCTTTCCAAAAGATGGGCAGATCCTGCTTCCAAATGAGTCCCACCACCTTGATGACCAGCAGCTTTGCAGTGTCTCGAGGGGAGCGTCGGGGAACCAAGTTGTTCTCAAACCCTGTTGAGAATCTCAGTCACTAGCTGGTGACTTCAGCTGTATTTTACTTTTCTGTGCAGTTTCTGAGGGTTGGTGGAGGTTTAAAATGAAAGAGATGGTTGCCACCTTGGCAAAGAAGGGGTGGTGGTGGCCATCATGAAATTTGCTTCCTTTCTCCTTTGGGTGATGGGAAGGGGTGAGATAACTTGCTTTTCCTAGACCCTCCGGCTGACAGACACAGAGCTGGTGGTCTTCTTCAGGATGGTGCCAGACCCCACTGCCGCTGAGTTAGACCCTCCACCTGTAGAGCACAATCCTGCCCCCCCAGAACCAAATCCACCCCCTCCAAGGCTGTAGCAGAAGCCAGAACCGCCGGTGTTACAGATGCCTCTCCCACTTCCAGCACCGAATCCGATTCCTCCTCCTCCTCCAAGGCACAGTCCGCTGCCATATCCACCTCCCACAGAGCTGCTGCCACCTCCCACCACAGCTGCAGAGAAGAACAGAAGGTACAAGGTTACCTCTGATGCCACCATAAAGTTTTGGAGCATCAATCCCAGCCCACTGTGCTCCCCTGGGATCGGGGAACGTTACTTACAGATGCTCACGGTGTTTGGACACTCTCCAGACATCCTGCAAGGAAAAGAGACAGGGTGTCACCTCCAGACAGAACATCTGGACTGGTCCAGCTTAATGAAGCCAGGCTTGGTCCATCAGACCATAGGCACAAATAACAGCAGCTATAGGACAATAGTTCATAGCTAATGTAACATTACTGATATTTTAACAGAGGAGAGGTGATGTGCCACTTTCTTCCCATAGATTTAGCCAGATGCCATCAAGCTCTGGCTGTATCCTCACCCACCTGCACTCCTCTCCTTCCAGCAGCTTCCTGTAGGTCGCAATCTCAACATCCAGGGCCAGCTTGACGTTCATCAGCTCCTGGTACTCACGGAGCTGCCGGGCCAGGTCAGCCTTGGCTTTCTGCAGAGCTGTCTCTAATTCAGTCAGTTTGGCCTTGGCATCCTTGAGGGCCACTTCACCACGTTCCTCAGCATCCGCAATGGAGCTCTGCAGAGCTTCACACTGGATGACAAGATGTGGATGTGATGAGTGGGGTAGGAGCAACCAGTCAGAGATGAAGTCATGATCCCAGACCACTTGGGCTCAGCTGTTCACAAATACAGCAAGTTCCCTCCCACTTACAGTGACTGTGACCAGACTGTTTGTTTTGAGGGAAGTTCTGAAGAGCGTTGCCAAGAGCTCACACCCATTTCTTAAAAAAAAAAAATCCACCCCTACCTGTTTCTTCACACTCTCAATCTCAGCCCGTATCCTCTGGATCATTCGGTTGAGTTCAGAGATCTCGATCTTTGTGTCCTTAAGGCTGTCTCCATGTTTCCCAGCAGTAACCTGCAGCTCTTCATACTGGTAGACAGAAGTGAGAGGAGCACGTTAGGTCCACCAAAAGTGATTCCTCACGATGTACCACCCCGTGCAAGTCAAGGCAAGCAGGCATACGCTAGCTCCAGTCTGGCTAGATCAATACCAGTAACATCCCAGGCTTCAGCATAGTCTGAGCTCCCACCAGAAACTCTTCCACCTCCTCATCCATCCAAGATCACAAACAAGGTGTGGAGCACTCACCTTGCTTCGGTACCAAGACTCAGCCTCCAGTCGGCTCCTGTTGGCAATCTCCTCGTATTGGGCTTTGACTTCTGCAATGATGCTGTCCAGGTCCAGGCATCGGTTATTGTCCATGGAGAGAACCACAGAGGTGTCAGAAACAGCCTTCTGCATCTGAGACAGCTCCTGGAATCCACACCAGACCTGGCTTTAGCCCTGACATAATTCCCTTACAGCATCACAACCCTTCTCCACCCCAACATCCCCCTCCAAAGAGCAGTTGGACCACTTACCACTTCATAAAGATACTTCAGGAAGTTGATCTCATCTGCCAAAGAATCTAATTTTGCCTGAAGTTCCACCTTGGTCATGTAGACTGCGTCCACATCCTGCAGGAGATATGGGAAGTGAAAACCTTCCACCCAACGCCCACCCTTTTATCTGACATTTCATCCTGAGCCCTATGCTGCTCCGTTTCCCTGTGGCACAGACATGGAGGGGTCCTGGTTTATGTCGAAGGAACCAGGTTTGAGGGACTCAGGACAACCCTCAGAACCAAGATGTGCCTTTGAATTTTTATTTTTTTTTTTTAAAAAAAAGGTATTTTACCTTTTTTAGGAGCACGAAATCGTTCTCCGCAGTTGTCCTCTTGTTTATTTCCTCTTCGTACCTGTTGATTATAACGAGGGAGATTGAATCTCTCCGCTTATTTTGGCTCTGGCTGCTGCTGGCAACTAGAAGCTCTTGGCCTCAGACTAATGAACGCAGCAAAAATAGACCTGCCATGAGCGAGATTTATGGACTAGCAACAGCACTTTGCCTTTCTAGACAGGTCCTGGCTCCTGCCATCTCCAATGCCTTGCTGAAGAAAGCCTGAGAAGAGGAATCCTGCCTCTACCTACACCAAGTCCTGGTGGCTGTGGCCACTCTAACTCTTTCTACAAGACTCAAGGACCTTCAGGTCCTCAACATGAGCTATCTCCAACTGGTCATTGGGGCAGAGACTTGAGTGGTGGAGATGATGCCCAAAACAAAGTCAATTTTCAACCTGTAACCTCAGTAGAGTAACAGGTTTGGTTGATCCTGATGAGTCCCAGACTTGGTTTTCCACCATTTTTTGTAATTCCTTTGGTGGAAACATCTCTCTGGGCTTTGTTCTTCCTTTCCCAACTGGACAAATTAATCTAATATAGAATAGTAGGAAAAAAAAATCTTTTCTTTTTTTTTTCTTTTTTTTTTGGCCAACATCATCTTTCCAAAGAAAGTTCTACACTTCAAATCACGAAGGATATTATGGGAAGGAATCCATAAGGAAATCTGTGAGGAAACTCTAGTAGGATGTAGCAACTGATCTAAAGAGTTCATTAAATCAGAATGTCATGGATTCTTAAGTGAGGAAGACAAACAGTAGAGGATCCTGCTTTGGTGAGAAGCACAACTCAGACAACAACACATATTGAGAAATATCTTGAGAAGTCACCACCTTTTGTCCAAACCCAGCTGAGGAAAACTTCCCCGAAAGCTTTTGCATTTGCTAATCATTGAAAGGACTGAAATATCCCCAAATTCTCATGGTTCTTTCCATTTTCTGACTGTTCTAAGTGAGTTTTGATCCCTAGATTTTCACCACCAGGTAACCCAACCATAACTACACCGAGAACAACATACCTGGTCTTGAAGTCTTCTACCATATCTTGGAAGTTCTTCAGCTCTGACTCCAGCTGATGCTTCTCGCTGGAGAGACAGTCCAGCTGCTTCCTCAGCCCACTGACATAGGTTTCAAAAATGGGGTCGAGGTTCCTGCCACCCAGCCCTGTGCCACCTTGTTCCTGCAGGAGTTTCCACTTGGTCTCCAGGACTCGGTTCTGCTGCTCTAGGAACCGGACCTAAATGGTTGCAGGGGTGGGTAGAAAAAGAATCAGACTCTTCTCAAACGCATCTTGAATTTTTTTCCATGTTTTCCATATTGTTGGGGTTTTTTTGTTTAATCTTCCTGCCTAGTCTCATCTCCAGTGAGCAATAACTCCAAGGTCCCACTGGACAGGTGGGACCACAGCTCTAGGACAAGTGGGTAAAGTTGGGTCCCCTTCCCTCTCCAGTCTCACAGTCTCTAAATAGAAGAAACACGGTGAACTTCATAGCTTCAGCATCTTCTCCTTAAAAATAGGTCAAAACACCCAAAGTCCTTCAGCCCATGGATGGACAGAAGCCATCAGCAGAGACTCCTCTGAGGATGCTCTGTGTGTAGGTACATGGTCCCACAGCTTAGTACCAGCACCGTGGTCTTAAGAACCAAGGATCCTATTCCTGGGTTTCTCCATAACCTTGGGGAAATCACTTCTCCAGCCACCATCTCTCTATCTGCAGAGGTTCTTTGGGGAAGCCTGGACAAGGCTTGGCTCTCTGGATATTATGGGATGGGTATCTCACAACAATTGCAACCAGCACCAGTCATGGTGAGCTCAGCCCTCCACCTCCCAGCCCCAGGTTGGAACCACTCTCACCTTGTCAATGAAGGAAGCGAATTTGTCGTTGAGCTGCTTAATCTCCTCCCGCTCTTGTGTTCGCACCTTCTGGATCTCAGGGTCGATTTCAAGGTTGAGTGGGGTCAGCAGGCTCTGGTTGATGGTCACTTCCCTGATGCCACCCGGTGGGCAAGGAGGAAAACCTTGACCTCCCATCCCGACATCAAATCCTCCACCAAAGCCACCAAAACCACCACCGAGGCCTCCACCAAAGCCACAGCTGCCACCAAGTCCTGCCCCAGCACCATAGCCATAGCCAAAGCCTCCTTGGCCACCAGCCCCGAAACCTCTGCAGACACCACCACCGAATCCTCCCAGAGAGGTGCTTTTACTCCCTCCCAAGCAATAGAGGCTTCTGCTGCTGAAGCCACCAGCATTGCCAGGTCCTCTGCATGCTCCACGGGACACAGAGCTGAACGTGACCTTGTTCTTCCCTCCAAAGCAAGCGGAGCTGGAGCTGAAGCCCTTGCCGAGACCACAGGACTGGCGAGACATGGTGACAGATCTCCAGCAGTCAACCCGTGAAGAGAGAAGAGCCGAACGATGAGGTGCAGGAGGAGGTTTGAAGGCAGGAGGAGGTGAGTCCTGTGGGTGCAGTGGCTGAGGGGCCCCTTTTTATGTGCTCAAGGAGTTGGCCGGGTGTCAGGGGAGTGGAGATGGCTTATTTTTTTTAATTCTATTCTTTGGTTTAGGGTTTGGAAAGATGCCTTCTTCTCTTTGCCACCACCATGACCTGCCTCGAAACACTCCCTTGGAGAGCAAAGAAAAACAAAAGTTATTGTTGGCGTTGGAAGCACAACTCCAAATCAAATTCCTTCAGATGCAGCTGTCAAGTCATCACCAGCCTCCCTCAGCCTCTGGTGGCAATGACAAAGCACTACAAATTCTTTGAGGTGTTACACCCTGGAGGAGAGACCCTTGTTTTAGGTAAATCACTCATTTGGAGTTTGAAGGCAGGTGTTTGGTTCACTGAAATCCAACAAAAAGAAACAAACCCCCCCAAAAAAAAACCACCACCTGGTTTCTCAATCACACCCTCAGATGCACTCGGGTTCAACCTCTTGTTCAGAGGGAGGTTTGACTTGGGTTGTCCAAAAAAACTATTTCACAACCAGAGAGCTTTAGTCCTTGGCAGGGTGATCAAATGAGTTTTCTGTCCATAAAGAAAACTTAGAAACACTTTTGAAGAAGGTTTTAAAGTCATTTTAGATCTTTCTGATTAGTGGATTGAGCCTGGAGGGACACGGAGGGGTCTGCAGAGACCCAAATAGCTCCATATTTCCATGTTGCACACTCTTCATCGTATCTCAACAGGGTCAAGATGTTGTCACCTGCCTGAGGAGCTCTGCCCCGTGTCTGTGACCGCAGATCCTGGTCCTTCCTGGGCTGGAAGTTTCCTTGTGGGATATTTCCTGATCACTGGGACATGGGGGCTCCCTCCCAAATCCATCCTGTATCCCAAAGCTGAGCAAAGGGGTTTAAGCTGAAAGAGGGGAGGTTTAGATGAGATGTGAGGAAGAAATTCTTTGGTGTGAGGGTGGTGAGACAGTGTCCCAGGTTGGCCAGAGAAGCTGTGGATGCTCCTCCCTGGAAGTGTTTGTGGCCAGGTTGGATGAGGCTTTGAGCAACCTGGTCTAGTGGAAGGTGTCCCTGCTGCTGGCAGGGGGGTTGGGACTGGATGAGCTTGAAGGTCCCTTCCAACCCAAACCAGTCTGGGATTCTATGATCTCAGATACTCCTTGCAGGGTCACCAGCCCCCTCCACAGCACGTGGCCTTTGGCAAAGCCACTCCCACCCCAACCCATTAATGAGCTCGCATTGTTAAAAAAAAATTAAAAAGAAAAATAAATTACCACTTAATTGCTTAACAGCTTTTAATTTCTATGTTAATGAGCAGAGGTGGCTGCAGATCCCTCCCAACCGAGGAGCCCCATTCACCCCACCGCTCAAAATCAAATAAAAAGCCATCAAACTTCCCCTTCCCCCCCCAAAACCACAAGCTGAAGCCAGGGCAATAAAACCCCAACTCTGTAATTATCCCTTTTATCGGAGACGCTGACGATGGGAGAAGTTTGGGGAAACCAGTTTCACCTCCGACCCTGTTCACCTTTAGCTTTTGGAATTTTTTGTCTGCAAACATGCAAATCTGGAGCCGGGTGCAGCTGTAGGAAGGGAGGACTTGTCCTCCTGAACCTCACCCAGAGTTCCTCAAACTGGAGGATTTTCAGCCCAAGGGGATTTTCATTGCAGGGAACGAGGAAATTCCATGTTCCCCTTTGGCAACGAGAACCCCACACACCCCGTTCCCACCCGGAAACCTTCTCCCTCCCCCAGGCTTTGGCTTCCCCCATTTTCCAGCTCATGGTGAGGACGTGGATGGGGAGAGAAGAGGAGCAGTTTGAACTCAGCTCTGGCCAGAGGGAAAGGAGGTGGTGGCTGCATCTCCCCGACCTTACGCAACCAGCAAAGCTGCTGAGAAACTGAATGAACCTGTTGGAGCCCAGGAGGAGAGTGTAGCTGCCGGGAGTTCCCAGGGTGGCTCCGCCACCGGCTCCTGGCACGGCTCCCGGCTCACCACCAGCTAGGTGCTTGCCCAAGAAGCCAACTGTTGGGCCAGCAAAGAGCCCTGCTACACCCATCAAGTCCTGCCCCACCATGGTAGGGTGGGAAAACCTTGCTGGGAAATTGGGGCTCCTTCCTAAATCCATCCTGCATCCCAAGGTTGAACATCTTGGATACTCCGATGAACATACTTGGACACAGCGACGTCTCCTTGGGACCCATCGTTGGCCACCATCACCCACCCAGCACCTGGATGGAGTGACCCAGCTGCAGCAAAGTTTTGAGATGAGCATCCCAGAGTGGGAAGCACGCTGTGGAGATGGGAGATGACCTTCCTCCCAGAGCCATGGGGCAGGGAGCGGAGACAGAGCCCACAGGACAACCCAGCCCGGCTTTAATTGCTGGCACCTCCTCTCTTGCCTCCCCCAGGGCTGGCTGGGAGGAGAAGTCAGATTCCAGCAATTCCTCTCTCCTCGCAAGAGCCATCAGGGTAGTGAAGCTGCCGTGCAGCAGAGATTAGATGTTTCCAAACACAGGAGACATGAGTCCTCCTCCTAAAGACCTTCTTTCCTACACCAAAAATCCAGATAAAATCTCAACATCAGGTTTCTGCTGGATTTAAATCCACATGGTTCCATCACTGAGGACCTGGACACCCCATTGAACGTGTCCAGGAGCTCACCAGTCATTGATCTTCATGGCTCTCCAGCAATGCCCACCCACAAGTCCACCTTCCAAGAGGTTTCTCCTCTCCCTAAGGACAGCGGACAAACTCCCAGACTTACACACACACCCAAGAGCTTTGCTGGGCCAGGCTTGAATGAGATGCTGGGAGGAGAAAATAGGTTCTTCCCATGGCAAGATATAAATAACCAACTTCTTCACGTCCTAACCCTGGCCCAGAGGTGAAGCCTTGATCTCAGGAGGCTTTGTGGCTCCGCTAATGTCTACGGCTGCATTTCTGTAACGAGCTGACCAAACTTGCTCAGGGCTCCACGAGGCCACAGCAGGACAGTTGGGTGCAGGGACATCTGAGGTGCAGCCAGAGCATCTGTGGTCCCCGATGCCGTTGGGTGGCAGCTGTGGGGCAGGGACCCACAGGTTGGGTCCCCACTGACACCAGGGCAGCTGGTTCATGTGCCATGGGGTCATCCCTCATCTGCTGGTAGATCCCCACATGAGGACACGAGGGTCTCCAGGTGGATGGAGGAGCAGGAGATGAACCATGGCAGGATGTGACCCCTTCCTGCACCAGACATCGTGCCTGGACACTGGGATTTATCCCAACTGGGAGCTGATGGTGCTCAGCATCACTCAGGATCACAGGGATCACCATGCTGGAAGCAGCACAGTTCCTCCATTGCAACACCAGTTTTATACTGGGAATATTTCAGAGCCATGGAAGCTTCTCAAAGCCATCAATGGGCATCGAAGCCTGGGCAGCCCCTCTCCAAAGGGTGACGCTGGGCTCTCTGGTCGTGGTCTTTGTTCTCCCCACGGACCAGGTCTCACATGCAAAGCAGAGGGAAGAAAGAGAGGAATTAAACCAGGATGGTGAGTGAGTCCCACGAAGCTCTTTGATGGTTCATCAGCAGCTGCACCCACAGACCAGCTCCTCCTCCAGCAAAGAGAGGTGGGAAGAGGGGATGTGTCCCCACTGGGGGGTTAAAAAATACTCTGGACAACCTCATGTGTCAAGCCCAGAGGTGGAAATTTGGGATATCCACATCCACAGGGGTCCCAACAAGAGAGAGGACCACTAATAGGAGCTCAAAGCACCAGCAGCATCCAAGCTGCAGCACCCTAACCAGTAACCTCAACCAGAACAAAACCAGTGAGTCCAAACGAACCCAGTTTCACCCCAAACCTACACTGGGATGACGTTCAATGGAGAAAACTCCACTTTGTCAACCAGTAAAGGAGCAGGAGACACCCGGCTGCTCAACCAGCAATTACTGAGCGAGCAAATTGCAGGGCTGGGACGTGAGCTGGGAATCATAAAAGGAGAAATAACAAGGTGGGTCCCATGGGAGATCAAAGCGGGTGGTTGCAGAAGACGGGCGGGACCTTCGGATCCTGTCAGAGCTGCGATTGCAGAGAGTAAAGAGAGCGAAGAGCCGCGGGCGCCGGAGCCTCCGCGCAGCCAACGCTGCTGCTGGGAAGGTGGAGCTGAGAGGAAACCCCCCCCTTCTCCTGGGGATCTGTGGTCCTTGGAATGAGATCCCGGTCACAGGAATGGTTCTTGGGTTCTTGTCATGGTGGTGGTTAAATTAAATTGTCATTAAATGGTTTTGGCTGATGCAGCACCGGCGTCTCCGTTGGGTGTCACCTCAGCCGTTGTCCCCTGACATCCCGCTGGGCCTGAGGTGCTGCCAGGAAGTCAGATGAACATCACACTGAATCCCAGAATTTCCTGGGTTGGAAAAGCC